GCTTGCTTGCTTGCACGGCGTTTGGGCTTGGGGCCACAAGAACCCCTCACCCTGCGCTCTCGCCCTACGCCGCTCTCTCTCTGTCCGTCTCTGTTCTGTCTCTCTTACAGTGACTGGTACTGACTTGGCGCCGACAGTCTGCCTGTTGAGGCCCGCACATGGCTTCCCGCCGTTCCTGGGCATCTGACTCACCTCGCGTGAACGATACCTGGCAAGTGACAAGTGCACGCCACCCCTCTGTCTAGCGGTGCACAGTCACCTCAGTGCTCCTGGCCCGGAGCGATCCATCTGGGACCAGTGTGACCAGCTGCGAAACTCCTGAGAACTGCCATGCCACCACTAACACAGGGCAACCGGTCTTGAACAGAAGCAGACAACTGCAACTCCAGGGTTGCAAACAGTAACAACACACCCCCGAGCCAGATTCCCGTAAGGGTTTGCGTCTACGTATTCAGCTGACAGCCTCCGCGGCCTTTAGTGCTCACGAGTGTTGCCAACGACAGATCTCGCTCTGCAACACGAATCGTGTTCATCATAAGCTCAGGAAAGGTGCTGACAGCTGTTTGCCAGTACTGCATCTCATCAAGGCATTGCTGGCCGGGATGCTGCCGTGAAGCTTGCATCTGAAGTGGTGGACTGAAGAGGGACTGAAGATTTGGCCCAGGCCCCACGGAAACAGCAAGAAACACAGTGAGACTGCCGTCTCGAGACCCCAAGGCATCCCAAGACGACAGCAGGATGCAAGCACCCTGGCCTACAACTATCATTGTGCTCGGCTGCGGGCACAATCCACAACCTCCGTGCACTCTTCGAGGCACCTGGTGCCGGGGGGGGGGGGGGGGGGGGNNGTGGCTGCACATGTGACCACGACCGAACGGACTGGAACATACCCGCCACAAAAGCTTAAGAACTAGATCTTCTGGCCTCTTGGTGGAAACCAAGGGGCCGTGGCAAGGCTCTCCACACCTCGGCCGTATGCAAACACAGCACATGCTGCAATCCCACACGCGTTACCAGATCCTGAACCCCACGTGAGATCCTGGGTCTTTTTCCTGGAGATGGGTTTGCCGCTGTCGCATTATCCATGGATTAGGCCAATGATTAGGCTCCAGCTCGTTGTTCACGACGGCAATGCTGCGAGACCTGCTTACAAGGATGTCTTTGCCACATATCCGAGGCAGATGCGCCAAAGAGGCGAACGTGGATAAGCTTAAGTGCTGAGATGTGCTGAGCTGGCTTGAATCACAAAGAGAGCGCTGAAATGACGGTCTGCGATTGCAGTCTTGAGCATTTCTGTCGCTACAAAGCGCAGAACTCGTTTCTTCCTTTTTCAACTCTTGGCACTGAGCATTCACAGCAACCAGCGACTCTGGTGTCAATTCGCACAAACCAAACATCCGCATATTCGACACTCCACTAGAATGTAGAGGTTCAATGGTTAACAAAAACACCTGCGGGCTTGCCTGGTACAAAGACCGATGCATGAAGGTTGATGCCTTAGATTTGCTTGCTCATGCACATGCCATCCTTCCAGACGATGCCCATTAACCACTGGCCAGCTGGGTGCGCAGACCATTCGCCCCACGGCGAGAAAGTGCAATCTGTTGGAACGCAACGATTGTCACAAGGCCTGACGGGCTGTCTTCTGATTCTTGTGGCTACATGAGTCAGATCAAAATCAGGGCGGCCTCGTCGGACAGGCTTCAGTGTCCGTCTGTGTCCCGGCCTCGCTGCAGACCATGACATCATCTTGCATGATGATTTGCAATGGTGGGATGCAGCCGACGATAAGTCACACAAGCAAGGTTGCAATCAACTTGGGCCCGGGGCACAAAGACCTGCGTACGAATCGTGTGCCACCTGCTTGCGCAGCAAGTGATCTGTGAGTTCGGAACATGCCACGTTGCCCGCCAAACTTTTCAGCCCAGCTGAATGACAACACTTGTCCGATCTTGATCTTGACGTGATGCTGTCATTGCGATGTGTGTGTTGGACATGTCGCAAGCCTTGAAGAGGTACTCGTAGGGTTTGTTTTGCACAAGGCCTGCCCGAAGCATCGCAAAGGAGTCTGACAAGACGTTCCGAAAGACTTGCAGAACAATCGAGAGGAAAGTGCAAACAAAACAGGAGTGGTGTATGGCTTGGTCTCAGTAAGAGCCACAGCTGGCAAGAGATAGTAGGCTTCTTTGCTTTCCGCTTCGACACGCTTTCTGCCGCCAAGCCTAGAGACCGCTCCCGCAATCTTGTAGCCGGGCCGCAGTCCGCACTGCACCTGCTCGTTCCAAAAACAAAGGGAACTCGTCCGGAACGGAAACACGGGCGACTGGCCCACTCCAGGACGTCCATGGTTTCCACACGCAGAAGCTCATCTCGGTGCGGCCAGCTTTGGAGGGGGCATGTCACGACAGTGAAACGCGATCTAGATTCCTTGATACCTGAGCTATTTTGTCGTAATAAGGTTATTTTACTTGAACTACGTCGCATGCATCCTGGCATATGTCCGGAGCCTGCATTAATAGCTGTATTAGTACTAGTAGTAGTAGTAGTAGTAGTAGTAGTAGTAGTAGAAGTTGTAGCAGTAGTCGCAGTCGCAGTCGCAGTCGCAGTCGCAGTCGCAGTCGCAGTCGCAGTCGCAGTCAAAGTCGCAGTCGCAGTCGCAGTCGCAGTCGCAGTCGCAGTCGCAGCTGCAGCTGCAGCCGCGGTAGGCGGTAGTAGTAGTAGTAGTAGTAGTAGTAGTAGTAGCAGTCGTCGCAGTCGCAGTCGCGGTCGCGGTCGCGGTCGCGGTCGCGGTCGCGGTCGCGGTCGCAGCAGCAGTCGCAGCAGCAGTAACATGTGGGTAGTTCTCTAAATTAAGGTCCCTCTTTGGGTCCCAAAATAGTACGGC